ACATATGCTAACTTCTATCGGATAATGTACAGAACGATATTGAGGGAAAAAGAAAAAAAAAAAAACTTGCGCGACGGAGAGAGTGTTATTCTCGACTTTTCAGTAGAAAGCCCGAATTATTATCTCTACCTTTTTCTTTTTTTCTTTTTTCTTTTCTTCCGTGGATCGCCTTGACGTTGACTCATTCACTTGAGTCATATTCAAAGCGGCATAAAGCGGCACTACAGATTACATTGATAGCTACGCTACACACTTTAAAAAGTAATATTACAAAAACAAATTGATCCAGTTGTTCGTATCGATGAAAAAGTGAAATTTATTTTAATCTTTATGAAACGTCTTATAAGTACAATTTTCTTATTCCCTTCCCCCCTGCAATATGGATTTCTATTATCATTTTTTTGTTTTTCCGTAAATTCATCTATTTAATTGCACGGTATGGCGTACTTACAAAATATAGATGCGAAAGTGTTGAAACCTTTATCCTTTCATCTAATTGAAGGTAGAATATAGTTAAGCATGTAATTTGTAATTTACAGCTGTAAGATCGTTAGAACATAAATCAAAATATGACAAAGTTTTTCGCAGTTTATGGTATTAAATTTAAATCACCTCTTTCTCTCTTATCTGTGGTATACGATGCGAAAAACTGACATTTATCCGTATAACGAGATTCTATTTTCTATTTTTTTTTCATCAGTTGCGCGTTCTTCGAAAAATTTGATTCCTTTATTGTAACTTATTATAATACAAGTCCATAACTGTTCGTTTAAGATAGGACCGATCTCGAAGTTGCTGTATGTGAAGTAGTCCAGGCAAACCTAGGTCAACTCGAGCAACGATCGAGCTGGTGGAGCACTGTACGAACGTAGTAGTAATCGGCCGGCCTGAAAAAGCAGTTGCGATCGTGCGTGCTGAAAAAGGTAACCGAAGGTATCAAAAGCTTTACGACACACGTGCCTACCTACGAGCCTACAACACTCCCACCGCTACCGTTGTTTCTCATTCCATTCATGACTGTGACGTCATCTGCTGCGGCTGTTGTTCTCGGTTTTGCTCGAAGGAACGCTTTTACTACCAAAACGGCTGTCTGAATATCCTTTAAGTTTAAGACCACGTATCGTTATCGTGCATTTCATTTTACTTATCTAGGCCGGAACACACAGATGACTTGATATATAAAACTATTATTATCATTGAATGCAAACATCAACGTAACGTAAATGTCAGTCCACTTTCGTCATCTTCATCACTGTTCCTATCAACGTATTTATATTTTTTTTATCCCACATAAAAATTTCATTTTTGCGAAATCTATTTGATAGATTCGGATAATATGCATTCGGATAGATTATACGAAAATTATATACAAATTTGTATATTTTTTGACATATTTTAATAAAGTG